ACAGCCGCTGGCCGCGTTGCCATGGCGACGGGGGGCGCTGGCGCAGGTGCGCGTGCGCCGGCAGGGCCGCCGTTTTGGCGGTTATCAGGGTGTTCCCTCAGCGGGTTCCCTCAGGGCGTCCGCCTGACGCTGCGTGTCTCGAAACCTGTCGGTGTGGCGTGACGACTGCTGAGGGCAGGGGTTAGCTCATCCCCAGGGCTGCGGCGGGCTGCGTGCCCGTGCCTACCGCCCCGAGGCGAAGGTTTGTTTCCTGCTCTCGCCTGCATCTTTCTCGGTTTCTCCCTCCTTGCCCTCGCGCCCAGACAGCGAGGCTCCCGAGATGGATGTGACGGGAAATGTCAGTTCTAGTGACATGGAGAAGCTCAGGATTTCACGTCTCAATTGGCCCAAGCTCTCCAGAAAGTGCCTGTTGTGTTATAGCTGTCTAATAAGTCTGCACTTTGTTTTAAACATAGAGTACTGCTTGCTCCCAGAGAAGATGCTGGATTGGATGGCTGATAAGTCAGATCCAGTATAACATCCTTAACCCTGGGAGACTGACCTTCTCTCAAGTTGGCAGCAGGAGCCACAGTAGGGTGTTTTTATCCCCATGGGACTCCCCTTGCCCTTAGCAACCTCTGCTTAGTGTCCAAGCGTAGTACTCCATCTAGCCTTGGGGATTTCCCTCCACTTTACCTAAATCAGATTCGGGGGTTGTCTGGCATGAACAAAGCTGCCACTGTATGGATATGGCACATGAAGTATTTGCAGAGGCACTTTGCAAGTTTTAAACTTCCCAGGGCACGAGATGAGTTTCATTTTGTGTTCAGAGGAGCGTTGTTGGTCCATGCCAACGCAAATAACGGTGATGATGTAATCATACAAACAGTCATTTCAGTACAGAACAACATACAGTCGCAAACCTCAACCTTTCTTGCCAAACAGAAATTATCTACTCTCATGTTTGATTACCCAGGAAACAATGCAATTGTAGCATAAAATTTAAAAAGCAAAGGTTTTCTGTGAGGGTTGATCATCTAACTTGTTAGTACAGCAGTAGTCCCAGCTGCGTTGTCTCGACTCCTCATGTACATCAAGGAACACATGAGGAAAGAGTCTGCTTTATAAACACTGAGAGGTCAAAATCTAAGACCGTGCCTTCTCTCAAATATTTTTATACAAATCCAGTGGGAAAAAAGCAAACATGAATAATTTTATCTATCATTTGAGCAGCAAGGAGGGGAATGTGAGAGAAATAGGGAAGAGGAGTAAAAAACAGCTGAGAGCAGAAATGTCAGCCTTGCCTTCACTGCGTTTCTTCCCTCTCCATGCAGGCAGTGTCAATATGCCTTTCTGAGAACACAATTATGAGTCAGTCTGGCTAAGAATTCCGAAAAATACTTCATAAATGAGGGGCTAAACTGCCCCTTGTGTGGCCCCAATTATGGGTGTATATGGTGAGCAGGGCAGAAAGCTTTCAGCCCTCTGAACTCAGGTGGGAAGGAATGACTCCAGAAATGCAGATTTTATTGTTCACTGCTGACAGTGGAAACCCTGGGAGTGCTGAGAATTATGCTGACCTTGAATGCACCTGCTTTGTTCTTGTTTTGTACTGATGTTACCCCTTGTGTTCTTTCATGAGGTGTACTTAAGCTCATCTTTCATTTGATTGAAGGGAAGCTGTTTGAATGGCCTCAGAAGAGCAAAGTGAGCGTACAGAGCATCCATCTGAGCCTCCTGCAGCTCCTGTTCAGAGTAACAGAACATTTCAATGGGGAGCCATACTTGCTGCAGTGAAAGATCAGCTCCCATCTCTGGACTCTGACACCTCCACAGTAAGCATTGGAAATGGCCTTTCTTTCTCACTGCGTTTTAGAAAAAGCTCTCAAAAACAAGGTCACCTTAGCCAGGCATTTCTGAGTAGCTAGTATGGTAGATGGGCTACCTGTTCTGACTATTGTAGCACTGTGCATTAATCCACAGCCTTCTGGATTATCTCAAATTGTCAAAGTGTAAATGTAATCTCCTTTCACTGTATTCTTTGGAACCTGAAAATGGGACTGATTTCTCTAGACAATAAGTGTTTCTAGTCTGGGTAGAGGAGGGTGGTGGGCATCTTGCAGAATGAGTCTGCATTTCTTTGTTTGTTCAGTCAAAAATACAGTATGAAAGAAGCATACTGCTGATTTAAAATGAAATTATAAGGTTTTATACTTGAGAGTATTATGCTGTTCATTCCAATAACGTACTTGCCAGACAGTAGGCCTGTTAGTATGTTTTTCTATGTATGGGATTCACAGGAAAGTGATATTCCTGAAGACTTTGGGGTCCACTGGAAAAAGCATTTGGCAGATGTTTAAATCCTGGATTCTGCTTTTTTCCCTGCCTGTAATCCTCCACAAGCCATGTTGCCTTATTGTGCTTTGATTCTACCTGCAAAGAAGCATAATGCCACTAATCTTTTAATATAAAGCGTAAGATTGATGGATATTGTGCAGTATTCTTCACCATTACAGGTTGTTTACTTGCTGGGTCTTAGTGTCTGGGACAGGCTGCCTCTTGGCTGCTGAAGATCTCTGTTTAGAGAACAGCAATGGTGTGATGGAAATAATAAAAGTGCCTGCCTCTCTAGTTCAAGATGCTAGCTCTGGCATTGACTTTTCCAAAGTGATAATGTGTCTCAAGACTCAATTATTAGTGGCCTTTTGTCCAAATGAGAATATTTTGTTAATTTTCAAACATGTATAAACTTGAAAAAGTATTTTTGAACACTTAAAGGATATATTTTATTCTAACTTAGTATGGCCCTTAATGATATGAAGGGAGTCTTGTGAGCAGTGAAGGAGCCAGAAATGCCTCCATGGGGTATTTATTACTTATTATTAATCAATCATCAGAAGCAGTGTGATCTAGTGGATAAAGTGTTGATACGGATTCCATGACTTGTTTTCTACACCTGGCTCTATCACTAACATGTTGAACAAGTTATATTGCCTCACTGCTTGTCAGTTCCCCTCTACCTAAATTCTGGTTTAGTTATTTAAAACAACCGTTGCATTTTAGTATGTATCTGTATACTATAGGTTAAGGCCCAACACTCAGAAGTTATTTTTAGGCATTCTTGTTGTATAAGCATACCATAAGGTTAGGACAGAGAGATAGCTTTGTACTTTGCTGCCAAATACCATTCTATAACTAAATCATGTTGAACATTTTTTTACGTATAAACAGTCTCCAAATTCTCTGTTTCTATTACACGTGGAAAAAATTTCCTGGTGAAGGAACTGAGGCAAACTATTCGGCACTTAAATGCTACCCTTAATATGCATTCAAAAGATCTGGTTGTATAATCCCTCTCCTGCTTAATGTGGAACAGTAGCCTGCTGAGCCTGCAGTTTCAGTGCTGCACCTTTGTCCGACTGGTTTCCACTTGTGTGAAGATACATTTATGCATCTGAGATCTGTAACCTCAATAGGCTGTGCTTCTGCATACGAAAAGGGCGCTGACAAATGAGTATTATGCCCTGAAGTACTTTCATTACCCTGATACGCAATTTATTAAGAGGAAAGAAGTTCTGTTGCAGTTTGCTTCAAGTTAAGAGAAATTAACTACACCAGACAGACAGAATTCTCCTCAGTGTGGGTTACTGAAAAGGTACACTTGCAAAACAAAGGGACAAGCAGGAAATCTGTGTCCTGACTGCTGAGGATGTGCTTAATCTCACTTTGGTGTCTATGCATAACGATTCATCTCAAACGCATACCTTATGTTCAGAAAAGAGATTTTCAAAGCTATTTAAACTCTGTCCAACTAAATATAGATACTGCTTTGCATTCTGAATAGTGAATGTCAGGGTCCTGATTGCAATAATAAGCCTTCATGGCCCTGCCCAGCCTCAGCTGGGGCTCCCACGCACATGCCCAGCAGCTCTATTTAAGCTCAGCTCTGTGCCTTCAATCTTTGTCTGAGCTATGTTGGAGGAGTACTGGTTTCTAGCTATAGTCTTGCTTGATTCAGACTTTCATCTGTGAACTGACTTTCAGGCTTAATCTCTGACCTGCCTCATCACCACAATATTGCCTTATGATCTGGATTCTTGACACAACCTGGTCACTACCTCTGGTCTGTCCTGCTTACTCCTCTTATGTAGTGTGGGACTGGGCTTTGCCTGGTGTGACCCTTGCCTCTCCAGTTATGTGCTGCCCCTCCTAGCTTCCCTTCCCTTAGGGAGCAGCCCTGCTCTTGGTACTCCGTGATGGTGAATGAGGTAGTGCAAAGAATCACTTGGGAGTTAGAGAACTTGCCCACTCTTGTCATCACTTTGCTCAGAGGGATGTTAGTTATCAAACTCCATGGTAATTCAATGTTTTACATGGTTTTTACGATTGTAGCTTGCTCAAATGTTAGGCCACTGTAAGACAGCCTAGGTTGCTGAGTGTTGGGCTATCAGACTGTCTAGTGAAGATGTGACTGCAGAGAAAATCCTTGTCTCTGAACTTCAGTCAAATGGTGACAACATAGGATTTGTAATTTCAAAACAGGTATTTCGGTGAGTGTTATAGTCTCTCATTTAATTTCTCTTTTTTTTGTTTGTAGTCTGACTGTGAGAGTGATGGAGAGCTTTTCATCTTCCAGCGGGAACAGCCAAATTTAATTCCTGACCTGTCAGAAGAACTGATGCAGTTTTCCCTGGAAGACTCAAGCGTGCAGGTTGTTGGCTGTTGTGTGCAGCCTGTAGTACTGTATCCCCACTCTTCTGGTTGTCTCCAGTATGGGTAGCTGCTGTTATTTGACCTATTTGACTGAATTGTGTGATAGAAGAGCATAGTTCCCAGTGCTTTCTCCCACTAAAGACTAGATCTTTCTTTCTCTTTATACAGTGACCCTTTAAAGTTTTCTCTGTTCTTGAGATTTTAGACTGGTTTTGTCCCATCTCCTTGCAGTTTTTATTATTGTCCTTTTACTGGTTGTTTTTTTTTTCCTGTGCACTAACAGTTACACTGTGCAATGACTCCTAAATTTTTCAGGGTTTGAAACAATTTCAGCCACCATTTTAGGTAGAATTAGTTAGGACAGTATAGTAAGGAGGATGAGTATGAAGTTTATGCCTTGAACAGCTTTCCTGAGATAAAATTATTACATTGCTTCTGCAGTGATGAAGATTAGCCATCATAGGAAGCTGGAAGAGGAGCAGCTGACCCTACTGTTCCATCATGGGAAGACTAACATTGTGCCGTTTTTCCCCAGTTGTTTGTCTTGTTGTAAGAAATGTCATATGATGAGCACATGTAAGGCAAATTAATTTCAAGGATGTTTAGCATTTCCTGAAGTTAAAGTCTCTGGAAAGTAAACAGTCTTACTCTTTTCCATGATGGATATGGTGTGTGCTGTTTCCAGATGGTGTCTGAGTTGGAGCTGCTATCTTCCAATCACTTTGTTTTGGTTTATTGTCAGCTTCTAAAGCTTAGGGAGATATGACTTTCTGCATGTGTGTATTGTCTCTACCTGTAGGAAACCCAGGAAACAGAAAGACACCCGTGGGAAGTCTGGAATGGAGATCTGAAAAGTTTTGGCTTTCAGAAAAAAACAGATGGTGCCCAAATCATCGCAAAAGAAGATGTACAAATGATTAAAGATGAGACTTCCAATCTGGCCAGCCACACTGAAGAAATTCCAAGCCAAAAGGGAGCTGTTCTTGAAGAGTCTCTTGCAGATTCCACAGATCACCTTGAAGAAAAAGAACTGGGCAGGAGACAGGCCAGGGAAAGAAGGAACTCTTGGCTTAATATAGCATTGTCTGTGGAAGAGCTGGACAGTAAAAAAGAGAGAAGAAAGCTGATAGAGACAAAGATACTCTCCAAAATAATTCTGGAGCCGTCACCAGGCCACCCAGAGCTAGATATCAAGCCTCCCTCACATGGCGTTAGCAACAGCCTAGAAAGAATTGCTAAGGAAGAAGCCTCCTCCAATGATCATCTTCAAGAACTGACCCATTTGTCATTGCAGGTAAGTGGCCCAAACAAAAAGTTTTGGGGAGTGCTGCTTGTGGGGTGGAGGGCACAGTGTATTGCTTGCAGAATCCTACTAAAATAAAGAACTGAAATGCCAAATTTTGCACACACCGCAGTGTTCTTTGTTGCTTTCATTGTCCTGAACGTGGGTTTTGTTGGGTCATGTGCTATGCAAGCTACCAAAAGCTCTTATAGAGTTGTCATTAAAAGTCCGTAATAGTAGCAAAAGCCATGGGTCAGCAGCATGGTTCATGGTCTTGCTCAGGAAAGCAAGCCACAAAGTCTGTCTCTGGGAAGGCAGGGAAATCTGGTCCCAGGCAGACTTTTCATTAAAACAGTGAGCTTTCTGGCCTTCCAGCATCTTGTCTTTTCTGTAGCACTGGCATAATGCTGGAGGTGAGAAGAAAAGGTGGTTAGAGTTGTTCCTGAAGTTTTAAATCTCTTCCACCTAAGGCAGGTGCTTAGGTCTGTGGGATGACCAGCTTGTGTGCTTAACTGGTATGTGGCCCCAGTGTGGAGAGGTTGTTCTCTTCAGTACTATAGTTACACATCTCTACTTCCTTACTGATTTTTAAGGTCATTAGGATGTAAGCAGCACAGAACAGGAACCTCATTTCTGTTAAAAGCCTTCTATAGAATCAGAGTACAGATGTTTCCTTTCCCCTTTCATCTACACTCACAAAAATAAACTTCTTGGTGTTAGAGCTGTTCTAGTATAGGCAAAGAATGCAGCTGCTTGCTTGTTTTTTGAGTCGTGCTGCATCATTTAACCATGCTGTTATTGGAGGGGATCTTTTTCAAGTGGTTCTAGGTTTAATTCCCATCTCCTTTCGTGTATGTCAGTTGCCCTATTAATTCAGGGGGCATGATTTTCCTTTCAGAACCTGTTTGATATCACTGACTTCAATGAACTGAAGTCTCATGCTTTTGGGTGAGTACTGAGAGCAGGCTCAGTGTATTCTCACTTTCATAAAGTGAGGGCAAAGCTGTATCCTTTGTGTGCAAGGTGTATGTGCTTAGATTTGAAAGGTGGTTGTTACTTCCCAGCTCAGCAAGGTACCTCAGTTTATGTCAAGTAAAGTTGTTAAAACTAATAGACAGTTTCTTTTTGATTCTAATCATACCAGTTCATTTGAAAATGATTTTTTTTTCCTTAAGTCCCTTGCTGTATTAGAAATGGAATTGTGCAAATCTTAATTTCTTTTTCTTCTGGACCCTGTATAGTACCTTACAATAGTGCTATTCCTGTTATGGGTTAGGCAGATAAGCCTTAATACAGCAACTTAGATGGTAGTTTGGTCTTTTTATTATAATGGTTTGTATTTAAGCACTGTTATTGAAAAAGAAGCTTAGTACTAACTGCATCATAATTAAGGCAAACGCATATATTGTCTTTCTCTTCAGGCTGTTTGATAAAACAGCACCTGAACTGACCTGTGACATGGTTCTCGTTGTTGTAAGCTCAGTTGTCAGTCATTCTTCACTCTTCCAGACCAATAAATCTCAATGACATTGTTGAACCAGCTTTGTGTTGGTGTGAGAGACTTCAGCCTGTGACTCTCATCAGGCTTTTACCTTTCATCAGCTGCAGCAAGTAATATTAGAATAGACCTAATCATGGTTCAGGTATGTGTGAAGATTTATTGCTCAGAAAAGAGTGAGAATCTTCTCTTAAATGGGAGGGGCAGATGACACAGGTTTTTGCAAGGTGAAACTGCTTGTTTTGGAGGCTGGTTCTGCTTTTCTAAAGCCCTTGAGTGGTCATATGAAATGCATGTTAGTTGTAGTTGTGACATAATTTTCATAATTGACAGCCACCTTTAAAAAAATCATGAGTACTTCTAAGTTCTAGTGATGATATTTCAGACGGATGTGAATATTTTTAATTAAAACTTTCATTTCAAGTAATATTCAGAGGAGAAAGCAATCAGTGCTTTAAATGCATGTGAACTTTTGTTATCGCAGACTGGTTCTCATCCCTAAGTTAGCAGTGTGCAGTGCGAGCATGCTCTCAGTCAGTGTATGTGTGATTTATAGCAATGAAATTGATGATCCTACCTTCAGTGTAGGATAAGCAGCTATTGCATTGGATGCTGACTGTACCTAGAGGAATGGAAATTTGCCCTGGTCAGAAGTTGGAGGGGGAGGAAAAGGCTCTGGGCCTCATCTCAAAGAACTGAAAAGCCAAAAGTCCTTCTCATGTTAGTGGCAGTGAGAAGTTCTCAGCTTTATTCAGGATCAGAATATGTATGCTTGGCCTTATATCAGGCCATCTTTTAAATCTGTTTTACTATCTCCAGTGGTTTTCTGTAGCCTGTATCAAAAGGGTTCATGATTCTCAGAGAAAAAGCCTCAGCAGAAGATGAAGCAGCTGGATAGATGCACCGTCCAAAGAGATAGAGTAAATGCATTCCTTTCATTACAGCACTTCCTTGTGGAACTGCTTAAAGGAAGCTGGCAGTGTAGTTAGGGGCATCATGTTTTGGAGATGGTGAAAGGGTGAAGAAAGGTACTTGGAGGGATGAACAGAGGGAAATAAAATATGTGGTGATCTGGTACTGTTAGTGGATTTGAGGGATGAAGGGGAGTACTTGCTGTTGGAAAGACTCCACCATGTGAGAATGCATGTGGAAGACTGAGCCATGTGGAGGACATAACATGAGTTATGTCCCAGCTTATGGCAAGACAGGTCAGATGGATATTTAGGATGGACTTATGTTTCTCCTTTTAAGGAGCTGTCAGTTCAGTCCATTCTAGAAACATCTTCTAGACTTTGCATTTTTAAGTGGGAAAGGAGAAGGTATTCCACCTTTGTTATAGTTGAGTGAACATTGGTTAATCCTTCACTGGTTTCTCTTAGTAATTGTATTGCACTTGGCTATGCTAGATGTTCAGAGCCTTGGCAATGGCATGTGGCAAGCAGTGTTGAAACAGTAAATATCCTTTTGTTAGTCATGCCAATTGTTGAGGTTCATGCTGAAGCAACTGTGTTCAGAGTGACACACTGGTTCATCTATTGACAAGTGATAGTGACATAGTACAGGAGATAAGTAAGGTGAACTTCCATGCCATTTGTGTATTTATATGTGCCAGAAGAATCTGATGGAGTTACTACAAAGAATGTGAGTCAAAGGGACTTTTATTTTGTAGCAGTCTTTTGGGAGTGAATTTTGCATCACATTTTGACTGTCTTCTTTCAGAATATTGAAAAAAGGGATCTAGACAAGATTCCTGAGGAGCTGGAGCAGCAGAAAGATAACACTCATGCAGAAGTTGCTTTCACTTCAGCAGATCATGGTAACATTGCTAAATTAATACCAACTTTGGTGAAAATGTATTAAAAAAAATAAAACTCAGGCTCCTGTGTTTAAGTCATTATCTTGAATATTGAAATCTTAGTGGGTTTTTTAATGCCTCTGTAAAACATGTTTAATTAGCCCCCCCTCAAGATTTCATCTAGCTTTTGTAGCTTGAAACCAGTGCTTTGTGGCCTGTCATGGCCTAAGAGCAAATCAGACAAGGTGGATGAAGGTTTGAAGTGAGTTAGAGCCAGATAACAATAGTATCTTTATCATTCCCCTTCTGACAAGCTGTAGATAAAGGGACAATGTGAAAATGGGGAAAGGGTATATCGGGTGATCCCATGGCAGAAGACCACAACTGGTTATTCTTTTTCTTGCTCTTCCATAGAGACCTTCAGGAGTAGGTCTGAAAATCAGCTCATGGAAAAGCTAGAAGAGCTGTGTGCCAGGCAGTCCAGGACAGCGTCTCCACACTGGAGGTGGCCGTCAGCCAAGCTCTGCTCCTTTCAAGAACAGCAAGAGAATAAGTAGGTCCTTTTGTCATATACACTAGGTAATCATGACTGCCAGTGGGGATACTTGGAAACTCGTGGTGTTCTGTAGGTGCTTTTCTCTGTAGCCTCTGCAGAAAGCTGGTATCTTAGTTGGAATATGCTACAGGGATGTTAAAGGGAAAAACTAAGACTCAGTCATCCATGTACATTTGATGATCAATGGTCAGTATCCTGCCACCTTAGCATTCTCCATCAACAACCACCTTTGTCTAGACCTTACCAGACACTTGGGACAAAGGGGAAAGGCAGGAAAACAAGGCTAAGCAAGTTATTGTGGCCACATTTTTTGTCATCTAGGGTACCAGTTTCTCTTACTGGTACCTCAATTTAGCTAAAATATACAGGATGATTTTTTGTAGGTATCAGTGGAGATGTCAGTGCATCTTGGAGGATTCTGTATGAAGGAAGTAGATTTCCAGACTGTTTGGAGGGAATGACATCAGTGGTGGCAGCACAGAGGAAACAATAGTGAAACAAGCCTGTAGAGGGTAAGGTGAAAAGTATCCTCATTGCCAGAGCAGGGAGAGCCATGAAGATGGTTTGCACTTTGTATACTCTGAAGGATAAAACAGAATTGCCAAAGGAGGCAGAGGGGGAAAAGGGACCTGTTTTTACTGATTGCCACTGGGGACTTAAAACTTGTAAGCTCTTTGGTACTATAACTGCCTGCCTTTGTTCTACAGAACAATTTGACGTTGTCAGTTTTTTGAGAACTAGATATCCCTCATCATGCTGCCTGTGGTCTGTATTCCTCAGGGGAAGCTGAGTCTTTGAGTTCAGCTTTGAAAGGTGGTGGAAGCAGAGTTTGAATCTGTACAGTAGCCAAGCACAAAGCTCCTTTCACAGTCCAATTTTGATCATAATCCATGCCCTGCAGGACTTCTTGTCTGGATAAGGCGGAGGACATGCTGAAACAGTGTTTTCTATATTTAGGGGTGTTGCCTTGCTATCATCTTCACGAAGTTCTCTAAGCACAGACATGATGAGGTTATGGTGCCTGCCAGAGCCTGTAACTGTGTACATAGATTTAAGAGACACTAAACCGCAGAAGTCAGTAACATTCCCTGATGAGAAACAAAGGTAAATTCTGGCTTTATTGTTAGTGAGAAGTAGGTAACAAAAAGCGGGAAACTGAAACC